CACATTTAAAGGGGCTGCTGCCTGGGCCTGAGGCGCCTGCGCTTTTCCTGATCCCTGTCCGCCYTGCGCCAAATTACGCACTTTGCGCTGGACCTTCGTAAGGTGCTGCGGCACCGGCTCTTCCTCTTCCCAGAGCTCCTCCTGACCAGCCTCCTCTATCACTGGCTTTTTTCCTTTTACTTTAACATCCGTCACCACCCTCCTTTGCACCACCGGCTCTGTCGCATACCCTAGCTGTGTCAATACGTCTGTAACAATCCTTGTTACTCCCGGGGTCCCAGAAGCGGTCGCATCTCTTTCCTTTCTCTTCTGCCTTTGCAGGCGTACCTGACGTTGTTCCACATGGTCCAAACACCCAACTTCCACCCCTCTGTCAATGGTGGCCGAGGTGAGCTTAGTGCTACCTCCTCCATGTCTCGTCAACTCGATGGCCTCCGATGCTATGAGTCGCCCCAGGAAGATGGCGCACTGTGCTTCCTCCGAAATCCCATGGACCTTCCGTGCCCTCTTCTTAAATTCTTGAACAAAGGCCCCTATAGTCGTAAAATCCTCTTTGTTCATCGCTTCAAGGTCCGTGGTAGTCAACAACCCGTCTCCTAGGTGGTATTTCCTCTGCATCTCCTCCTTGAACCTCTCCCAGCTACCTTCAGCCGCATCTATGAGTTTCTTCACCTCCTGATGGTAGCCGTGGAGGACATACTGAAGGATGCGTTGCAACTTTACAACATCCGGCCGCCTGACCAACAGAAATGGAAAGTATCGACCTTTGGGATGTTGCTCGGGTTCCTTTCATGTCGGTCGATGGCCGGGATGAGGTCATCGAGTGTCAGGCCCTTCTTGGGAGCAACTGATGCGCCGCCAGTCTCAGGCATCTTGACAGCCTCTTCTTCTTAAGTTCCCTGACAAAAGAAAACAAGCACATCCCGTTATTCAACATTATACCTTGACCGGTCTATTTCATTCGTCCTACCTAACCCTTAGTACTTACTTTACTCAATGTTTACACGATCGTCCCTCATACTTCCTCTACTTGGGTAGGTAAATTTCCTCACCTACACTTAGTCATTCATATATTCCTTCATTACTTTCTCATCACTCCTTTATGCCTTTTCTTATTCACTTCTCATACCCGGATGTCATTCCACCAGGGACAACGGTAGGCTTTCCGTTAACCCCGTCAACGGCGCCACCTGTCGGGCGCATCGGTCCGGCACCGCACGGGGGCAGCGCGGGACCCTCCCGGCCGCGTCACGCAAGAGTTGGTTTTTAGAACCCTTCGTCGCAATATACATGGAGCTTCCACAAACCGCTCCGGCCGGGTGCGCCAGCCATACCTCTCGCGAGCCCCTACGACAGGATAGGGCCTACGCGAGGCACGACTTACCTACACCTTACGGGAGCTGTCACCTCCCTTCGGTGGGCGTATCCCCGCCGAGCTACCAGTCCACAGCACGAAAGCTAATCAGTTGTAATCGCAGAGGTGGACCAGCCGAGGGCGTTTCTCGTTCGCTGTAGCATAGGGGGTACGCGCGGTAATACGCCTCTATCGGACCCGCACACGAACCGACATCTTGGGGGGGCTGAGGTCCCAAGCGCGACTCATCATCGGTCGACTAGGACGCATCCCACACACCACGCGCACTCCACTTTACGAACACACAGACTTACAAAACATCATATATACGAAACGACACGATACCAACAACGCGACAACGCTCCTAGCCCCTCGGTAGCCAACCCATAACTTTCAAGTGCAGAAATCGAATAGGCGTCGCGCGCTGAACTTAGTATAAAACCGCGCGGACGACGGACATACTCATATCGACTTGCAATGCAGGCGTACACAAGCAGTCGCAACGATGGCGTACTATGTAGTGCCCATAATCAAGCGGTCCCTCGTGGATCCGAGTACCGCTTATGACACTCAAGTGTCAGACTTGAAGTGTCGTGAGGGCCTAACCCTTCACGACATTGCACGGCTGAAGGAATAGTCGTGCAACCGCCGCTGCACCTTAGGCTCTCAACCTAAGTGTCCCGGTAGGCAAATCAAATAGGCTCTGCGCGAGGGAGAACCCCTCCCCTGCAGAGCCTAGGGCTTGGGATGTCCTGAACAAGGACCTCGAATCCCGGCTCAGGACCAAACGTCCGAGTAAGAAAATCATCAAAAAGCAAGAGACGAGAATAAAAGGAGAGACATCCCCTAAACCCCTTAGTCTCAGCTTCTGAGTGGGGCTCTAATGTGGGGGCTCTTTAACCCATGCAAACATTCATCCCAAGTATACCCATGTATACATATATAAGGGTTAAGTATGTGATGATCACTTCTCATGGTTCCACTGAGGTCTCTCACAATAATACGTATATGTGTGATCGTAAGCAACCAAATCCAGAATCTGATTTACAGCACAAACCTGCCATCACATCAACGAACCAAATCAATAGCCCACACACTACACGAGGTCAACCCCAACCACCCTCGACACTCATACCCCTCGCTTTAGCCATGCAAGTCTCAAACCTCATGTCCAACCAACCTTAATTAAATATTCAACACCTTTGTTAAATGGCCATTCAATAAAAGTCCGGGTGAAACCTTAATAAAACAACGAAATCACCAGGGCTAAAGCCTTTAAGGTTGAGTGTAGAGGGAGAGTTGAAATTGAGTCGTAGACCGACGAATCGTCAACCGACCTGTTATCAGTGATAACAGTAAGTGATCCTCAAGGGATCAAGCTGGATCTAGCCCTGAACTTGGATTAAATGATCAAAAGGACCTGTAACGCACGACAGACCAATCTCCAATCTAGGATCATAAGTGTATAGAGAATACAACTCCATAATACATCCTCACTCAAAATTTGCTTATTAGTTAAACCTAAGTCTACTTTTAAGTCAGTGCCTAAGCTGAAGGTAGACCAACTGCAAAATCTCACCTATTCTCGGTGGATCGCCTGAATTTACCTATCAAAATATTCACCTATCAAAATATAATCTATTTCCTCTAAACTAAGAAAATTTTGACAGCGCTTCCCGTAGGAAAAGTGTCTTTTCATAATTTATATAAGCCCAGATATGGGACCTGAAACAATCTCTAACTCCTGGAAAGTCAAATTATGTCTAACTCTCTGAATTAGTAGAAATTTGGGCAGCACTCCCTTTAGAAAGAGAGACTTCCCAGATTTACACTAAGTCAGATAGGAAAGCAGAATTAATCTCCTACTCTGGAAAGTCAAATTCTGTCTAACTCTCTGAATAAGTAGAAATTTGGGCAGCACTCTCTTTAGAAAGGGAGACTTCCCAGATTTATACTAAGTCAGATACGAAAGCAGAATTAATCTTT